CATGTTATACATTCCTAAATATATCAATCGTTCATAAGACTATGGAATGTCTGTCGCGATCGAGGTAGCATGAAACTTTAAGTAGCGGTCTGAAATTTGTTTCTGTCGTGATACTGGTAAGCGTACTTGCTCTAGTTTGGTAATTTAGTCATAAAGCACGATATATTACTATTTAAGTAGGTGTCTCTCTATTTGTCTTTTCTTTGTAGTTTGTTTCCTTTCCCATTTTCTTCAATTGTTTATTTTTTTTTTATCTTTGGTCACCTAACAGGCTTTGTTTGTTTTATGATTATATATAAAATGACGGTTAGCCATTTTTTTGTTGCAGACGTCTTTTCAGGCAAATTTTATTTGTTCAAAACCCACTTGTGGTTTATGCTTCTGCTATGTTAAGCAGACGTTAGTTTCTCTCTCCAAAACTGTTATGATCAGGAGTTTGGACGCCAGTACGATCAATAACTCGGTCAAGATGACTTGTGACTTCGGGCCATCACAATCATTGACAGCTTCCAAACGGTTCCATCTATTCAATTTCACTCAAGGCTTGGATCAACCCCACGCAGGATTTTTATGCACTTTCCAAATGTGCCGCACCCCGATCTCGCCCCTACAAACACCGATAAGAAGGGTAGGTTCGCGAAAAGTGGAAATTAAGCGGGGTGTCTGGAATAGGTGTATATATATATATAATCTTAAAAGCCGCTCTATCGCGCGACATTTAAGGTAGGCAACAAACTACAGAAGAACAAATTTTCATAGACGAATATTTTCTATGAAAATTTCTCGGACATTCAGGCCGGTAAATGTTATTTAATACTGTTTATTATAAACAGAGCAGTTACTTAAATACTTGTATCTATAAAAAAAGAACGTTAAACATAAAAATGTCTTCAAATATATATATATATATATATATATATATATTAGGGGAATACTGCTTGCCTCGTGCGCTGATTAGAAATGATATGCAAAAAATGCTTCACCTCAAAATCTGGCCAGTAGCCGCAGATGGCGTTTTTTTCATTCAGTGGCAACAAAATAAAGTGCAAAATGGCAGCAACAGCCGAAAAATGCAAATTCTCAAATCGGTTTTCTACTTATGTCAGCATGAAAATTGCATGCTGGAATGTACGAACACTACTTGACAGTGAGTTAAGTGAAAGACCACATCAGAGAACTGCTTTTATAACCAGGTTGCTGGTCTTTCTGAGACACTTTTTGCTGATGAAAAGAGATAACATGGTGTATGTTTTGTCATTAAATCCGCGTTGGTACCCCCCCACCACCACCAAAAAAAAAAAGAAAAACCCGCAGGAACTTCCATTTGCTAAGTCAGAACGTATTATATATCTACGTCTCCCTCTGCAAAAACAACGTTTTGTTACCTTCTTGTCTGTATATGCTCCAACCATGAGCTCTTCAGAAACAGACATACTTTCTTTCTATGCTGATTTAAGACAAGTGTTTCTCGGCTTTCCTGACACTGATAAGATCATTCCGCTTGGTGATTTGAACGCTAGTGTAGGGAAGGATTATTAAACTTGGACCTGCCTCCGCTCGTATGGAATAGGAAACGCAAACAGCAATAGCTTTCAGCTTCTGCAGTTTTGCAACGAGCACGATCTTGTAATCGGAAACACATGGTTTCGACAGAAAGACAAATGCAAAGGTACATGGCAACACCCACGTTCATAACACTGGCATATGATAGATTATATCATTGTTCGTCGTCGTGGTCTTCACGATCTCCACGGTGTCCGAACCATAAGAGGTGCTGATTGTTGGACTGAAGACTGTCTTGTAAGAGCCAAATTGGCACTCAATATTCGTCCAAAAGCCAGGTATACCAGTGTATCACGCCCAAAACCTCTAAATGCATCAAAATTGCATTCTTTTGGAACAAAATCTATCTTTGCCAATGCAATTAACTCTATTGAACTTGATGAAGCGAATACGTGCTCGGATTTTAGAATTCTTAAAAGGAAGTGTTGGTTCGCCAATAATTGAGGAAATTGAGGCACTACTTGAAATGAAACGTCATCTTTTCCAGAACACCTTGTCATCAAATCTTTCCAGTCACGCAAAAGAGGGTGCCATTAAAGCGCATAAAGAATTCTAAAGTGTAGCACATAAGCGCATGCGCAAAATTCAAGTCAAGTGGTGGTTTAGGAAGGTAGAAAAAGTACAGTTCGCAGCAAAAACAAAAAACTCAAAATTGTTTTACCAAATTATGAAAGAGCTGTATGGACCACGACAGTTAACTTTTGCTTCTCTTAAATCACATGATGGAAATACCATTTTGACTCAGCTTGAAGATATTCAGACGCGTTGGTGTGAACACTACACTGAACTTTTGTATCACCATGACATTGTTGATGAATCTGGGCTAGATCTCATTGAGCAACGTGAACCGATTATCTCTCTTGATGAAGTACCTTCTTGGGACAAAATAAAGTTCTCTGTGAAACAAATGAACAACAACAAAGCGCCTGGAATGGATGGCTTACCGGCAGAAATTAAGTATGGCGGCGACAAGATGATTGATCTTTTGGAGCAGGTCATCCACGATGCGTGGTGAAATGAGGCACCTCAAGGCTGGAGAGATGCAATAATTGTGATACTGCATTAGAAAGGATCAAAGTCAGACTGCGGGAATTTTAGAGACATATCTTTGTCTATTGTTGGAAAAGTCTTTTCGAGGATCATCTTGAATAGATTAATTGATACGATTGTCAATAACATACTTCCTGAATCGCAGTGCAGTTTTCGCGCAAGTCATGGCGCAGTAGACATGATTTTCAGTGCTCGGCAACTGTAAGAAAAATGCAGAAAGCAGAACCTTCCATTCTATCACTGTTCCATTGATTTGTCAAAAGCGTTTGATACCGTGAATAGATCAACGCTCTGGAAGATTTTATTGAAGTTGGGCTGTCCTGAGAAGTTTGTGGAGTTGATTCGATCTCTTTATGAAGGGATGAAAGCTAGAGTTAGTTTCAATGAAACTCTCTCGGAAGAAATACCTGTTGATAAAGGGGACTAACAGGTTGACATTTCTGCACCAACGCTCTTTACCATTTATTTCGTCTTTTATGTGGCTTTCTATGGAAATCCGTATGGTATTTACATCAGATATCGAACGTCTGGTAAGGTATACAATATGCGTAGAACGTTGGCACATACGGAGGTTTCGTCTTCTTTGGCGAGGGAGCTGCTCTCCGTGGATGATTACACATTCTGAAGATGAAATGCAACGTTTTATGAAACGTTTCGCGCATGCATGTAAATTTTTCGGCTTGGAGATAAATCTGAAAAAGACATTTGTTACGCACGACCCAACACTTGCATTGCCCTACATAGAACCAGCTATATACGTTGAGGGGGAAGAAGCTAGACGTAGTGAATTCTTTTGTGTGTGTATATATATATATATATATATATATATATATATATATATATATTGGCAGCGCGCTTACTGAGGGATGCAGTCTTGACAAAGATCTATTTGCGTATTGAAAAAACATCTGGATCCTTTTCAGGTCTTGAAAAATGTTTGGAATCAAGCTACAAACAAAGGTCATGGTCTATAAAGCATGCGTTTTGACAATTCTCTTGTATGCAAGGGAAACGTGGACGCTGTATAAGCACCAACTAAAGGCTCTTGAGCGCTTCCATCAATGATGCCCGTTGCTTTGTGTTGGGTGTCAGTCCTATATCTCAGATACAAAAGTATTAAAGAAAGCTAGACTACCAAGCATTGAATCCATGGTTATGAAAAGTTGTCTTTGATGGGCTGGTCATGTCGTTCGAATGGATGACAGTCGTTTGCCAAAGCAACTGTTTTACAGTGAAGTGATGAAAGGCAAAAGAAATGCATCAAAACCTAAGAAAAGATTTTAGGACTTTGTAAAATGTTGCCTGTGGCAGTCCAGCATATCGGTAAATCAATGGGAAACAATGGTACTGGATAAGTCAGTAGTGCAAACTGATTTGTGATGGTATAGAATCGTTTAAATATAGCCGTGTTCAGTATGCCGCTTTCAAACGATCAGTTCGTAAATGTGAACAAGGTCCAGCACTCGGTCCATAAGGTCACCACGTCAATTGTGACACATGCGGAAAACTCTCTCTCACTTTCTGGTCTCAAAAGCCATCTACACAAACATGTCCAACCTGCTGTTCCGCAAAATAACATTCATGTGAACAAAAACGATCAACAATGTCCTGTCTGTGGTAAAACTTGTCGCAGTTTAGCGGGTTTGAAAAGTCATCTACGGGTGCATACAACTTGAGATAAGGAAGGAAAGAGGAGAAAACGTGAAACTGAAGAGGTGGTCACACTCGAAACCGAGTTGACAGCCACCATATATATGCACCCCCCAAAAAACCGTTTCGCTTCCAAAATAATCGACTGGGATACTTCTGGAAAATAACGCGATGAAGGCAAACAATACTTGTAATAATGTTGCTCAATTCGAAGAGATAGTGTATTAATATCAACAAATAAAATTCTTTGATCAACTTATGTCTCTACTCAAACCTTCGCGGAGATGTATTCACAACTGCCCCACGCGGTCAGATGTGGCACTAGGCCGAATTTAATGTGGGGTACCCGAGTCAGTAGGCTCGGTCAAAAATTCCCCGGGTAGCTGTTTCCCGATACGAGACTTTGCCTTTCGACATAGCCTCGTTTGGGGATTCTCTCTGCCCAGAAGCAGAGAGTTTGACCAGCACAGCTGGAGAGGAATCTTCAATTCTAGACCAACATACAGTATTTACTACTGCATTTGTGTGAATAGGGGACATGCCCATTATCGTCTGTGGGTATGCTACGACATCTTTGATAATTTATATAAAATCGAAGCATAGCATATTAGACCCCTTCACAAGATTACAATTTACTGAAAACATTTTGCACGCAGTTTGAGTATATAAAAATATATTTGGTATCATGCCTTAAATAAGAGCAGTTGCAAGAATAATTACAAGAGTTGATTTTATACTCTTGAAATGAGGAAAAGGGCACACGGTGAGGATCTAACTCTCTAATCGGTAGTATCTGCTGGATCATTATCCTATAACGAGGCGGCCGATCTCTGTAAATATCTACGTGCCAGTTATCTAATGACAGAAATTGATGGAAAAGAAAGGAAGGCGGTGGAAAAAAGAGGAAATATAAGGCGAATAGAGAAAGAGCAGAAAGGATGAGGAAAGAATAAAAGTGAGGATAAGGGGAAAGAAAGACTGGAAGTCTTTATTTATACGCAAACAGCACTAAAGTTGAGGTTAGGTAAAAAATAAAAAAAATAAAGATTCTTTTAACGTCCTTCCATTTGACATCATTCAAATACAGGAAATTCAAGTTTGCTTCCTTTGAACAGGAACTCTAGTATTCTGATGGGGTTGAAAAATAATGACGTAAGAATGTCGTTTTTGACGTTAAAAAATACGTCAAAAACGACATTATTACGTCATTATTTTTGCACCAACCAAATAAATCTAATAACGTTCATAGATTTAAGAGATAAGTATAAAATTTTTCTTTACCCTCAAGAAAGAGAAACAAATTATTTTTAAATTAAATCTTATTACTCTAGCGTGGTATTTTTTTCCGCAAGCTTAGTAATTCTCATCAACTTAATTTTAAAATTCCAGTTTTTCGGTTGGGCTCCACCCAGGTAATAGTATACATATTCATTACAGGTAGATTAAAGACAAGGGACATAATTCACATATGTACTGTAGATTTTCGAATGTGGTCATGTGACCAGGCATGCACTAAAGGATAAACAGTTGTCGCGAAACTGATAAATCTAATCGTTTTTGTCTTCTAACTGTCGTTAAATGTTTTTAGAAACGGGTGGTGACATTAACCTTAAGAATTTAGAAAGTTTTTTATTTATTTTTTTTATTTTTTAGTTTCTAAAGAATGAATGAGAAAACGAAACTGTAGATCTAGAAAAACCATCGTTAAACTTTTATTTACCAACATTCAAATCGTTTAATAGTAGATCGTTTTTCTATGATTCTGTTCACACTACTCCCCACCCCGATCTTTTGAATAGGTATAGAGGTTTACCCCTTGTTTTTTGTTTAGGTTTTGGGTTTCGGTTCCTTCTAAAAGCTTCATTTTTTTTTTTTCTAATTATGATTGGCCTCTTGCGTCTTGGTGGCATATTATCACCTTTGCTTAGAGTGGTTCTTAAGCCTTGTAAAGGGGTGAACATCATCGTAAAAAATCGCCATTAGTTTCATGACTGGGTGTATTCGCAGGGCCGTTAAGCACCCAATCAGTTCCCTCCACATATCGGAGTACTCTTTTAAGTTTGTCTTTATGTCACGTAAAAGTGATCTGAGTGTGGGTGTCTGTTAAAGAGAGCATGTGCTAAAGAGATGTTTGTTCATATACACACGTTCAGAAGGAAGGAAAACAATCGAATCGTGGATAGTTTCTGTGAATTGACAGAAGATCGGCAGTATTTTATTTTTATTTTAATTACTATTTATTTATTTTTGAAGTCGCGGCAGTATCAAATGGGTCCACTGGGGCGTTGTGTATATGACTTTTTCCAGTTGCAGATTCATTTTTTAGTTTTTTCCGAAATGACTACCGGATCACAAAATGTGATTATTAATTATTCTCTCTGAATGAACACAAGATGCTGTCTGCTAAGTTTGCAGAGATCAGACTGACTCAATGAGTCCCATTCTTTTTTTTAATCTTGAGCGATGTTTGTTTGTTTGTTTTTTTTGTCTCGGTGCTTATTGTGATTCCATTCGTTAAATGTTGTGTGTGTGTGACCAGCAATACCAATTAGTTTCTGAATATCTGGTATCGGCATTATTTGACCTGAATATCTTAAGAGACATGCACTCAAAATACCATACTGCCAACTGTCACGACCGAATATTATACTGGTATTTGCTAATCTTATACTAATCAGGCATCAGTATGGGTAAGTGGGAATCAAATTCTCTGGAGTGACGACTTTGCTAAACCATAACGTAAGCAAGGGATGTTAAGCCTGTACAAGGTTCAATAGCCACTTCAACATAGCCACGTCTGGGGATCCTCGCTGTCCGGAGGCAGAGTTTGACCAGCACAGCTGGAGACGAATCTCTAACTGCAGAATATCTACCCACCGCCCCACGCGGTCAGATATGGCACAAAGCCGAATTTAATGTAGGTATCTGAGCCCGTAGACTCGGCCAAAAATTCACCGTAGACCCTGTATAAAACGGTAGCTGTTTCCTGAGACGAGACTGCCCTTCGACATAGCCTCGTCTGGGGATCCTCTCAATCCGGAGCGAGAGAGTTTGACCAGCACAGCTGGAGATGAATCTCCAACTGCAGACCAACATACAGTATTAACATACCCATTATCGTCCGTAGGTATGCTACAACACTATTATTCACTCAAAAAGTCAAAGAGCCACCCAATGTCTCACTGTAGATGATTACTGAATTATATGAGCCACAGGAAGAGGTAAGAAGTGCAGTTTATGAGATTATGAAAGAGATAACTGCTAACCATATACTAGAAGAGGTTAAGATTATAGCGTTTGGGAAAAACAATTTGTTGGAAGTCTGTTTCACAAGGTAGCAGTTCTTGGGAAGCATCCTCCGATGGACTTCTTTACTAATGGAATGTGGAACTTCTTCCTTACTAATGGAATACATGAGGATGATTCGTTCCTGTCAATATGGCATGGCGAGTCTTAGCTGCGAAGGTTAGGACTGGTGTTACTAAGAAATGTAGCTCGTCAGAACATTTGCCATAGAAATGGCGAAACGCTTACGACATTTCGTCTGATGGAAAGGGAAGAAAAATAATTCATTCCAGTAGACGTTTTTGAACTCTATCAAGACAGGCAAGTGAGGACTGGACAGCTCCAGCCCAGATACGTGTTACCAATTTTTTTTTTTTTTTTTTTTTAAAAGGGACTGACATCTTTAACGATGAATTGTATATATGAGTTCCACTTGAAGTCTGGGGTGAGCTTGAACCCTAATAGGCGTTCAAGGCAAGGATCATCCTTGAGAGAACACCCACCCATCCATCATAATGGGGGAAAATGCGTGTTTTGCTCGTTGATGTTAGAACATTACTAGTTTGTTTTTGGAAGTATTGAATGTTACAAGTCAGTCCTCCCCTCCACATTGCGTCGCCAGAGCTAGGCTAGAAGGGAGATCAGGTGCCAGATTCTGGTCGTCCAGATTTTTGGAGCTTCTATGAACTGGTATCCTGCATAGATATTCATTAGGTTATGTCGAAACCATCCATCTATCTATATATAAAATTCTGTGACTTCCTTTAGTCCGTCCGTCCTTCACACCCTCTAAAATAGCCATACATTGACCGATCGAAACAATTTTGGGGATAAGTGCAAACAGGTAAGGGGGTACAAAGTACAATTGGTTTTATTAGGGGTGCGTAAAAACCGCGAAGTAGGCCGATTTTTCCAAGCAAATTGGCTTATTCAAATTTCATCGACTGTGTTGCTAAATTGAATGAAACGTAGAGGCTGCAAATCGCGACAAGAATGTTACGATAACTTCAACAATATTAAATACTTTGAGGATTTCAATACGCTGACGCATGTTGCAAAATGATTCCAGTGGAGTATCAGCGTTTCCCTTTTTTTTTTTTTTTTTTTTTTTTGAGGATAGATAAACGTAAACTTTGGTTGTTTATATGTGAATGATATGACTTAGTAGGTGCTCCCTCCCGACTTTTGAGTAAAATCTTACTCCTTGGAAGGGGATGCGGTTGTCGTTCTTAACTCTTATATTTACTAATTTTTTTTTTCAGGATACACATGAATGATATGAATCTGATAATTCGGGATTTTTTAGCATTTTTTTTTTTTTTTTTTTTTTTTTTAAATGTAAATAAAGATTGGCGATCAATTTAACGGTCATTGACGTGGAAAGTGGAATCGGCCAACCGAGTTAAAATTCTAGTCCAGTCTGTTTTGTTCAGTTTCGCACTAATGCTTTTAGGAAACGCGTGTGTCTCTCTTCTCCAGCTCTGTCAAATAGTAGAGTAGACTGAACACTCTAGCCTTGGATGGTAGAAAGTTTAGAAAGACAACTGATTGCAAGAGCAGTGGAGAAGGCAATAGGAAACCTCTGCATTATCTTAAGTTGTGGAAATTCACAGGAGTCTAGAAGGGACACGCATTATATACCGTATTTTCATGTGTATAAAACCCTAAATTTTGAACGAAAATCTAGGGCAAATAGCCAAGTCGCACTATACACAAGTACACGTTTCAGAAGTTTTTACTTACCTTAAGATTTGCAAATATACTCAACACAAAAGATAAAACAAAGTAGGCAGACATTGATAGCAATTGTTTACAAATTGTATTTGATATGTCAGCGATATTTGTTTTTCTCTTCATAGTGAAAGACGAAATTTTTTATTTCCATAGTTTCAAATATAGAAATATAATAGTTATATCGAAGATAAAAGTATGGTAGATTAATTACGCTATACCATTTTCTGTTTTCATCTTTCCTATTTTAAGCAACCTTTTCCACATTCGCTCCCATGTGTGCAGACGGAAATAACCTTGTATTCTTTATTGCATTATCGGAATCCTACATCTAAAGTTCCATCTTGTCTTCAACTATTTTCTTTCTGCCATTAGAGGCGAGGGGCGCGGCTACTAATAATCATATGAATAAACAAGACTGACAGATGGAACAGCAGGCCTAGGATCAGTAGGTAGAATAACGGACTATTTGTTTCCTGTTTAGGATTGAGTTTCCGGTTCCTTCTCTTAAAGCCTTCTCATTCTCTTTCGCTGCCGTCTTAGTGGCATTATCTCCTTGCTTGTTGAAATGATTAAAACTACTACAAAACTATAGGTATTCATAAAACAACGTAAATACGTTACAATTCTCTTTCATCATTTTTCTTCTATAATACTACTCTGGATTAGAGTTTTCACTGACACGCTTATTAGAAAGTTTTTCCCAGTTTTTAAACATTTGAATATACTGTTGCCTATGGACCCATGAAGCAATTCATCTTTGCAGTACACGTATCGAACGAACATTTACTCAATCAACAGATGCATCGTAAAACTTTAAATCAATGGTCGGAATATTGGATCGAAAGTTTTCAATACTTATCGTCGTTGTTGTGTTACTGAAGACTGAGAGAAATAAAATTTATTTCATGTTCAAAAGTTCTTCAGTGGAAATTTCAAAATCACCGAGACTTGAATCTAATTTTCTTACACTCGATTGAAATTATTTACAATATTGTTTAACGATCATTTTGGAACTTTTAGTTGACCCCCCCCTTTTAATTTTTTTTTTTTTTTTTTTTTTTTTTGCTACGGTCTACTTTTGGCTTTTACATTTCTTCCTTGATTTCATCTTCAGAACTAACGGAAATCAAGCTTTCACAAATATTTTAAAATGTTTCTGAAGTTCAAAATTTTTAAAATCTTTTCACCCCAAGCAAGACAACAAAGCTAGTAATACGGAGGGGCTTACTCAGAGTGAAAGAATATAACAAAAACATCAAGGAGTAAGAACAGTGAAATGGCAGAAATTAATAACGATAGACATATTAAATTGTAAACGACCAAACTTGACTGGAAAGGGAGAAGCTGGAAAAGAGTTCCACAGGCGAGAAGTGCGAATAAATGAATCTGATAGCATAGAATTTATGCTTAAATTCATACTCTAGGTAGCACATAGTCGAATTCATCAGAATAATTATCATGAAAGTATTTATAGAAAAGGCACAGGGAAA